AGAATTCAGCAACATATCAAAAAAATAATTCACCATGATCAAGTGGGATTTATACCAGGTATGCAGGGATGGTTCAACACTAGAAAAACAATCAATGTAATCCATCACTGTCTTAGTCATCTAGTGCTGCTACAACAGAAATACCACAAGTGGATGGTTTTAATGAAGAGAAGTTTATTTCCTCACAGTTAAAGTAGGTTAAAGTCCAAATTCAGGGTGTCAGCTCCAGGGGAAGGCCTTTTCTCTCTGTCGGCCTTCTTCTCTTTGGTGTTCCCCCAGACTAGAAGCTTCTCTGAGCAGGGACCCCAGTCCAAAGGATGCGCTCTGCTCCCAGCGCTGCTTTCTTGATGGTATGAGGTCCCCCTGTCTCACTGCTCACTTCTTTTATATCTCAAGAGATTCCCTCAGGACACAATCCAGTCTTGTAGATCAGGTCCTGCCTTACTAACACAACTGCCGTGCATCCTCCCTCATTAACATCATAGAGGCAAGATTTACAATTTATAGGAAAACCACAGAATACCAGGAATCACGACCAGGCCAAATTGATACACACATTTTTGGGGGGACATAATTCAAACCATGACAATCACATAAATAAAACAAAAGACAAGAACCACATGATCTTATCAATCAATGCAGAAAAGGCATTTGACAAAGTCCAACGCCCATTCATGATAAAAACTCTCAACAAAATAGGAGTAGAAGGGAAATTCCTCAATATAATTAAGGGCATTTATACAAAGCCAACAGCCAACATCATCCTAAATGGAGAGACTTTGAAAGCATTCCCCTTGAGAATGGGAACTAGACAAGGATACCCTTTATCACCACTCTTATGTAACATTGTGCTGGAGGTCCTAGCAATTAGGCTAGAAAAAGAAATACAAGGCATCCAAATTGGTAGGGAAAAAGTCAAAGTATCTCTATTTGCAGATGATATGATCTTATACACAGAAAACCCCAAAGAATCCCCAAGAAAACTACTGGAACTAATAGAAGATTTCAGCAAAGTTTCAGGATACAAGATAAACATACAAAATATACGATTTTTAAAAGATATTTTCACCACAAGTAATTTTTGCTGTATGCCAATATGTTCTTCTTGATGGGAAAACCTCTAATTCCACAAGGAAATAAAGCAGTTAAAAGAAATTTGCTTTGTGGTTATTTTTTTTCCTCAATTATACCTATTTCCTAAAATGAAGCTGAGATGCTCGTTGGACCCATTTCTCACATCTATGAAAGATTTTGTTCACAATGAGAAACCATGAGACTGGGTGGGTTTGTGGGTTTTTGGTTTTTTCTTGCCTTTTTATTTCCCTGCCACCTTTTTTTTTTTTTTGTAATGATCATGAATTTCTCTTCATGAGGAACAAAATAAAGGGAGAAACAAAAACAAAACCCATGAAGCCTGTAAATGACAAAGATTTGGGGAAGACAGTAAATTCCCCACAGGAAGCGAAGATTATACCAAAGAACCTAAGAGTAAGTGGGGGCTCATTTATAATTTTTTAAATTGAGATATAATTCGTATACCATAAAATTCACTCTTATGAAGTACAAAATTCAGTGTTTACTTTTTTAAGCATATTCACATAGCTGTACAACTATTACCACTGTCTAATTCCAGAACATTCTCATCACCCCAGAAAGAAATCCCATACCTATTAGTAGTCACTCCCCATTCCCCCACCCTCACCCCAGCCCTTGGCAATACCCAATCTACCTTCTGTTTATACGGATTTGCCTATTCTGGACACTTCATATAAATAGAATCATAAAATATGTGGTTCTTTGTGTCTGGCTTCTTTCACCTAGCATAATGTTTTGAAAGTTCATCCATGCTGCATCACATATCAGTACTTCATCCCTTTCTACAGTTGAATAATATTCCATTATATGTATATACCATATTTGTTTATCCATTCATCAGTTGATGGACATTTGGGTTATTTCCATTTTTTAGCTACTATGAAAAAAAATGCTGCTATGAACATTTGTGTACAAGCTTCTGTGTCAACATATGTTGTCAATTCTTTTAGGATTATACCTAGGAGCGGAATTTCTAGGCCACATGGTAACTCTATGTTTAACTTTTCGAGTAACGGCCACAGTTTTCTACAGTAGTTATACCATTTTACATTCCCACCAACAATGTATATGGATTCCAATTTCTCCACAGCCTCAACAATATTTTTAATTCTCTTTTTATTACAGCCATCCTAGAGTGAAGCGATATCTCATTGTGGTTTTATCTGCATTTCTCTGATGGCTAATAGTGTTGAGCATCCTTTCATGTGCTTAGTGGCCATTTGTATATCTTCTTTGGAGAAATGTCTATTAAAATCTTTTGTCCATTTAAAAAATTTGGTTATTGGTCTTTTTTGCTGTTGAGTTATACCAGTTCTTTATATATTAGACCCTTATCAGATATATGATTTGAAAATATTTTCTCCCATTCTGTGGAGGGAATTTTTTTAATCTATTGATTCCTCAGTACCAAATCAGAGCTAAAGAATTAGCACCTGTAAGTTAAAAGTTTTTCAGGTGATTCTGATGACCTGCCAGATGTGAATCAACGATGCAGACCAGTGCTTATAAAACATTAATGTACAGACATCACCTGGGGATCTTGATAAAATGCAGATTGAGGGAAATAGAAAACCACTATTAGAACACCACAGTAATAACTGCTACAAATACGATCCACTGGTGAATGCTAGAATTAGTGGGCAAAGTTTAAGGGGAAATACAATAGTTGTATATCATCAACATATCTCCCCCAAAATGTTTATTAATTACAAAAGCAAACACAGTAACTTTACAGTGGAGAAAGCCGGCAGATATCACCTTAACCAAGTGATCAAGGTTAACATAATCAGTAATGAAACACATTGATACCATGTACCCTCTGATACTATGTGTCAAGAAAGGCACACTACCTCTGTGGTTTGTGGTTGTTAGCTGCCACTGAGTCATCTTCCAAAAACTGAAAACCTCAATCTAATCATGAAAAAACACCAGACAAACCCAAACTGAGGGACATTCTACAAAATACCTGACCAATAGTTTTTAAAAGTATCAAGGTCATTAAAGACAAGAAAGATAGAGAAACTGTCACAGACTGGGGGAAACTCAGAGACATGACAACTAAATCTAATGTGGTATCCTGGGCTGAATCCTGAACAGAATAAGGGCGTTAGCGAAAAACAGGTAAAATCCAAATAAAGTCTGTAGTTCAGTTAATAGCATTGTACCAATATTTAATTGCTAAGTTTTGATAATTGTACCATGGTTAAGTAAGATGTTAACGCTGGGGAAAACTGAGTGAAGGCCATATGGGAACTTGCTGTACTATTTTTGCAGCTCTTCTGTAAGTCTAAAATTATTTCAAAATAGGAGGTTTTTAAAAATATGCAGATTCTGATACTGTAGGTCTGTGTAGTATCCCCTGATTGTGCATTTCTAAACAAGCACCCAGGAGAGGCTGTTGCTGCTGGTCCACAAACCCCTCTCGGAGTAGCAAGAGTCTAGACCTGTGTGGTTCTCAAACTTAATCCTGCATCAGAATCACCTGGAGGACTTGTTAAAACCAACTGCTGGGCCTCACCTCCAGAGTGCCTGATTCAGTAGGCCTGGGGTGGGGCCGAAGCATTTACATTTCTAACAAGTTCCCAGATGATGCCAATGTTGCTGATGAGCTAAGAATGCTTTTTACATTTTTAAAGTGTTACAAAAATAAGAATATAAAACAGAGATTGTATGTGGCCTGCAAAGTCTAAAGTATTTACAGAAAATGTTTGCGACCCCTGGCCCTTCCTACTCAGAATAAAGCTTTAAAAAAACACTAGTGCCTAGGTCCCACTCAGTGGAGATTCTAATTTAACTTATCTGGCATAGGTCCTCAGCATCAATATTTTAAAATCCGGATGTGCAAGTTTAAGAATGACTGCTTTAGACCATCCACCTACCTCAGAAAATAACCTGTTCCTCAACCATCAACGGAGTTGGGCATGAGCCCCAAACAAGCATCGAAGAACACTCTATGCAATTTAAAATCATTTCAAAAAGTTGAGCTGCTCCTTCGTGAAGGCTGTCCAAACCCAAACACAAGACCATATTTCCTCCCCTAACCTGTTTCCTCCCAAGTGAATATGAATAACACTGGATTATACATCAGTAACAGTCACAAAGGATCCTTTTTTTTTTTTTTTTTAAAAAAGGAGCAAGTGTAACTGTGGAGCTCTCTAAGAAAGGTCTGAAATAGACAGGCCAGAATAGGCAAGAGATGGACCAGAAAGGAGCAATATGCAATCTGTCCAACGTGCTGACAGGTAACAGGGTTCAGAGCACTAGAGAGCTAAGGAAAGGGGGAAAAGGTGCAGAACTGAGAAATGGGCATGGTGTTGAGTGAGGTACCTGAAAAAACACCACAAAGAACCTTTGCTTCATCACAGCCCCAACATTTATTGGCTCCCCATTTGAACGCAGTTAGGGTCAGGAGTCCCTCTAATTATTTGGCCAACCCCTTCATTCTCCTTTTTTGCTGACCTGTTCTCAACGCATCCCCTTTACACTCCTTCTCTCTGCCTATTAATCCTCTGTCAAAGACGAAAGGTTAGCTAGAGCCTGTTCTCCCTGCTCAAGGAATCAGAGAGCCAGCCTCCACACCTCCTCCAGGAAGCCCCTCACTTCTCTGAGAAAGGTCTGTGTTTGTTCTCGTACCTGTGCTCTCCTCAGCCTGGTTGAAGCCGCAGATGTGGCAGATGCTCTGGACCCACTTATTCATGTCCTCCTCTGTCTCAGCCACCAGGTAAAAAGTGCGCTCACTGGTCTTGATGTCAAACACAAAACTATCCTGCAGCTCCTTCTTGTTGAAGGTCAGGCCTGCATCCACCTGCTCACAAAAGTTCAGGTTGATGATCCGCAGGGGCTTCTTGGAGTGATCATTCTTGTAGTATTCCAGAACATCTGGGTCACCACTCATCCGGCCACTCCGCAGGATAAACCAGCGTTTCTTCCAGGCCTGAATCCCATCAGGAAAGAATAAGAAGAGAGATCATTAGTTTTTTTCAAAGCTTTTAACAGATCCTTAGAAATCACCAGGTTGAGGATGGGGAATGTTTGACATGCAAGCTGAACATGGTCTACATCTCCCTTTCATATTTCCTCATAGTTTCAAGGATGATTTTAAAATGCATGTTAGTGCAGCATTTCACTATGGAAATAGGGTCTTATTACTAAAAAATAAGATATGACTGTGATGGTTAATATTATGTATTAAGTTGGCTAGGCCATGATTCTCAGTATTCGTAATTATCAGGCCAGCAGCCTGCTGTCTGACCTGCCGATTTTGAGTTCGTCAACCCCTGCAACTGTGTGAGTCAGGAAAAGCCTCCAGACTGATGTGTGACCTATGGATTTGGGACTTGCCAGCCTCCACAACTGCGTGAACCATTTCCTTGAAATAAATCTCTCTCTATATATATGTATATATATATGCTTCACTGGTTTTGCTCCTCTAGAGAACCAAGCCTAAGACAATGGCATTCCTACTTTCTATATCAGGAAGTTAGATGAGAATTAAAACACTTTATAGCAACTACTCCATTTGGCTAGAATACAGACTCAAACTCACAGTACTTTTAGGCAGAGTGGAACCTGCAAAACCTTAGCAACTCCTCAGTTTACAGATGGCGACCCCCACTGAGACACAGTGAGTTGAAGTTAACAACATCACACACAACAAGCAGCAGAAAAACAAGTTTTCTGACTTTTAGTACAATGTGCTTTTTACCAAACCATGATGCCTTGGAAGGATTCTCTGAAGCACGTAACTTCAGGGTTTTTTTTTTTTTGGTCTTGTTCACTTCTATATCTGCAGTACTTATAATATTGCCTTGTACATACTAAGAGCTCAATATGTATTACTGAATGAATAAACTCTTTATACCATTCCACACTACAGAATTTAACACTTGATTACATAGTCTCTTATAGTGTACTCTACATCCCATCTCTTCAACAAGACTGAGTAATCTCCGAGCAGATATCACACAAAGTGGTAAAAAGGCTTTACACATAATAGAGAGCCTTGGGTTGAATCTATGCTTTGCTGCTGACCTACTGTGTGATTTTAGATTAAGTCATTTACCTCTTTAGAGTTTGCCTCATCTAATGAGAATCACTACCACTACGCACCCTATCTAACTTAATTGTTTTTGTTATGCAAATGAACTCTAAAGCACTACAACTATTAAGGATTTGATTATTATCACAATTCTTAACCACACCGGGACCTACACTCCATTGATTCTACCATCTTTTCACTCTCATCTTCCACCTTCCCTTCTTACTCAGCTTAATTCTTGTGTCCCATCATTATAATCATTCCCTTGCTTCTTTCTCCATTCCTCTTATTTATGGGGAAAACCACAACTCCTGGCTTAGTCCAATGCTCTGCCTATTCTACCTGTTGCCACTCAGCTGTATATAGCTGCAGAAAATCATACAACTGTGCTGACTGGTTTCACATTAAATTCAAGTGAATCCCCATGCTGCTTAATAATCCTATTGCATTTATCTAGTACATGATTTTCTCCTGCTCTTTGGCAACAATCCCTTTAACTTCTTTCTCTTTAAACCTCCGACATCTCCACTCCCTTGTTTCTTATTTCATAAGAAAATATAAACAATCAAAAGAGAATTTATACACGCTCTATCACCACATATACCGACCTGCTTGTATATGTAGCCACGGAATCTAATCCATTACATGGACAGTTCATCCAATGTAAGGTCAACCTTCTACTTGGGCATTAGATCCACCTCCTCTCACCTACATATGGACATCACTGAAACAATTCTTCCCATGTCTTAGTCATCTAGTGCTGCTATAACAGAAATACCAAAAGTGGATGGCTTTAACAAAGAGAAATTTATTCTCTCACAGTCGAATAGGTTACAAGTCCAAACTCAGGCTGTCAGCCCCAGAGGAAGGCTTTCTCTCTCTGTTGGCTCTGGAGGAAGGTCCTTGTGATCCGTCAGTCTTCCCTTGGTCTGGGAGCATCTCAGAGCAGGAACCTCAGGTCCAAAGGATGCGTTCTGCTCCTTGCACTGCTTTCCTGCTGGTATGAGGTTCCCCTGTGTCTCTGCTAGCTTCTTTCCTTTACATCTCAAAAAAGATTGGCTTAAAACACTATCTAATCTTGTAGACATCATCAGTATAACTGCCGCTAATCCATCTTATTACATCACAGTGACAGAGTTTACAACACATAAGGAAATTACATCAGATTACAAAATGGTACATGATCATAACAATAGTGGGAATCATGACCCAGCCAAGTTGACAGATATTTTGGGGGGACACCATTCAATCCATGACACTCTCTTGGGAATCACTGCTATTTTCCTTCCTGCTAGGATCACTCCCACCAGGACATCAACATCTCTCATTTTAGGGAAAAAAAAATAAAAAAATAAAAAGTTTGACCTGATCTCACATTACCCTCCAACTATGACCCCAAAATTCTACTTCTCTTTACAGTAAAACTTCAAAGAGTTTTCTCTACTACTAATCTTCACTTCCTTTTCTCTCACTCTTTTTTGAAACTAATGAGGCATCTTCCCCTCGCTGTATCACTGAAATAGCTCATCAAAGGTCCCGAAGACTGCAATCTGCTAAATCAACTCTTGGGCCCCATCTTGATTGCTCAGCAACATCTGGTAAGTTTACTACTCTGCCCTCCTTGAAACACTTTCTCCATTTGGCTTCAGGACCCATTCTCAATTTTCCTATCTTCCTGGCCTCTCCTTTTCACTCTCCAGCGCTGGTTCCTCCTCATCTCCTTGACCTCTACACGCTGGAGTACCCCTAAGTTCAGTTCTCAGATTCAATTCTCTTTTCTTTTTACACTCAATCCCTAGGTTATTTTATCCTAGGTTATTTCATGGCTTTAAAAGCCATCTAATTGTTGCAATTCCCAAATTTATATCACTAGCCCAGATCTATCGTTTGAACTCCAGAATATTATATCCACCTTTCCAATAAGAGGCATCTCAAACTTAAATGTGCTCAAAACTAGGCTCCTAATACCCCTCAAACCTGTTCTTCCTACAGTCTTCCATTTCACTTAACAGCAACTTCAGCCTTCCAGTTGGTCAGAATAAAAATTCTGATGTCCTCATTGACTCCTTTCTTTCCTTCATACTCTATATCTAATCTATCAGCAAATCCTGTCAGTTCAAAGAGTTCAAAACATATCCACAATTATCACTTCTCACTTCCATTGTTATTAACCTGGTCAGGCCTACCATTCTGTTGTCTTCCTGCTTCCACCCTTTCCATTCTGCAACCTATTCTCAACACAGAAGCCAGAAAGCAGGATATAAATCAGAACATGTCACTTCTCTGCACAAAACCTCCAATGGCTTTCCATCTCATTCAGAGTTAAAGTCAAAGTCCTCACTATGGCTTATAGGTATGATATGATTGTCCCCCATCCCACATCTCTCACTTCATCTGTTGCCACTCTCCACCTTGCCCATTCTGCTCTAGCCATACTGGCCTTAAACACTGACAGGCACACTTCTGCTTTAGGGTCTTCGCTCCAGTTGTTCCCTCTGCCTGGAACACTCTTCCCCCAGATATTCTCATTGCTTATTCTTCCCTTCAAGTCTCCATTCAAATGTCACATTATTGGAGAGGCCTTTTCTGACCTTTCAACTCTCATAGTCTCTTTCCACCCCTACCCCACTCTACTGGTCTCACTAGCACCTACACCAGCTAAAACAGGTCAGGAACTGAAACTTTTTATTCCATGCTGCATCCTCAGTGTTTAGAACAGTGCCTGGCAAATAGTCAGCGAACAATAATTATGTACTAGAAAAATGAGTCATTTTCTTAAACTTCTTATGACATCTGGTACCTAATATGCCTTAGATTGAAATGAAGGGTAAAGCATAGCTAGACAGTAGACAGCTGAGGAAAATTAAAAAAAAAAACAAAAACTATTTATATATAGTCACCTAACCTCTTGTCCAGGCTACTGCTTACAGCTTTGTGTGTGCTTGCATGTGTGTACGTGTTGTAGGTGCATTCATATACATGCACGTGTGTGAGTAGCAAGGTGCATTTTAAAAACGTATTTGTTTAGCTGGTGTTTCAGTTGATGTTTCCCCTTCAGCGCTTGTTCTCAGTAGACGAGTTGTCTCTAAACCACTGGTGTGCAGGTGCAAACATAAACATGAACAAGAAAAAGGTGTTCGTTACAGATAATATCGGAGCCTGTCAGGTTCTTCTTTCATGATACAGAAAGAAAAATTACTGTGGGATTACTGACAAATAATGCAAGGACAATATGGGCACATGAGTCTTGAATATGTTATTAAAGAGAAAGCTTTTCCATGACTCTCTGTAGGTGTTTTTGTGGGAAAAAATAGTTACTCACACTTATGCATGTGAATCCAAAATTATCTCAAAATAAAAAGTTTAATTAAAAAAAAAACTGATCCACAAAAGAATGAAAATTTTCATAGAAAGTAAATGTATTTAAAGAAAACCATGGTAATAGGAAATGAATATTTCTCTGAGAAGTAAAGATCATGGAGAGATAGAATGCTAATAGTTGGCTAATGATCATAACCAGACCCAGTTCTCCTCAGTCTTTCCCACTCAGCAATGCAGGTGGGTTCTTATGGAATCGCACTGTGAAAATATGAATAAACTTTTAGAGTTTCAGGCTACTGAGCAGGAGGGCACAAAATGGAGTGAACTAAGCATCACCAGTATTTTTGAACCTATAACACTACATATCAGCTCTAGGAAAGCTTGGCTATAAAGGCAGTCATGATTCTCTGCCCTGGAAAACGAAACTTCCCAGATAAAAACCAAAAATGTAAATAAAGTGCCAGCCAGATGCCCCTACTTTTCTGTGTAGTAGCCAGCCTCTACAGAGTCCTTGGGTGGTGCAAACGGTTAAGCACTGGACTACTAACTGAAAGGTTGGCGGTTCAAACCCACCCAGAAGCGCCTTGGAATACAGGCATGGTGACCTGCTTCCGAAAGGTCACAGCCTTGAAAACCCTATACAGCAGCTCTACTCTGTACACATGGGGTTGCCATGAGTTGGAACTGGCTTGACAGCAACTAACAACAACATAGTCCTCTCATACTGAATATGGATAACCTGTGTAACCAATAGAATACTGCACAAATGATACTGTGTAACTTTCAATGCTTGGTCATAAAAAATGTTGCAGCTCTACCTTGTTCTCTTTTGGATCCGTGGAAATGAGCCACATTGTAAGGACAATCAGGCAGTACTAAAGAGAAGAACATATGGCAAGGAACTGAGGTCTCACG